TTGGGCTTGAGGGCGAGGGGTTTCACGGCAGGATTGACTGCTTTAAAAGCTGTTACAGGCAAAGTCAACAAACATGAGAAAACGTGCATGGAAAATCAACATGTGTTCATACCGTTTGCGTTTGATACGTTTGGTTTCCTCGCACCGGATGCAGTAGAGCTTCTTAATAGAGTACAACGGATCATGCATTGCAATGGTATATCCCCTAGTTCTATGAATGTAGTCTTTAAAAGATTGGGTTTTGCTATACAAAAAGGCGTAGCGGCGCAGCTTGTTGCCCGTTTGCCATCTCACTTACGATGATAATTAAATTTATTTATGAGGGAATTTTCTGAAACAATCGAAGTAATTGTTTATTTTTAAAAAATCAAAATCGATATTGAGAATGATATTTTTAATTAAGTATTGTAAATTTTAGGCTTGAACGAATTATTAATGACATGTTATTTGTATAGGGACAACTCAAATTAATAATTTAAATATATATATATATATATATATATATATATATATATATATATATATATATATATATACACTCTAACGTTTACACACTCACTTTCTTCTCTCATTTCTCTTACCTTGGTAATCAAATGCCTTTTGATCCCATTGAACTCGGCATGTCACCGTTGGGGGACAGTTTGTGCCATAGATGTCAAGCTACTGTCGAGAAGGATGATGAGCCACTCCTCTCGATCTTAAAGAGAGAAGAATATTCATGATAATGAAATATAGATGTATATACCTTTTTTAAAAGTTTAATATAGGGTAATTGACTTATGAGAGTAATTATCTTTTCATTTTGTTCATATCTTTTTTTTTTTTTTGGTTACACATCTAAGTTATTAACTTGTTGGAAGTGTTAACATATGATCATTATGATTAGTTGTAGCAAGTCATAATGATCATATATGAACACTTCAAATAAATATGTTACCTAAATATGTACAAAAAAATTATTCAGATGTGAAAAAAATTTACTCAGATGTGAAAAAAATTTACTCAGATGTGAAAAAAAAACATAGGCAGATACCCACCTCATTTGGCAAGAACTGAAACCGGAACCGACAGTTTCTAAAAAGTTAAAACCAAAACCGAAACCAATCTAAGCACTAAGTAATTCTTAAAATTTTGGAATCAGTCTCAGAACTGACGGTTCCGGTTCCAAGAGCAGGTAAACCAGTTACATCAATGTTTTTTTTTTTAACTTTTATCAATAAAACCACAATTTAGTTTGTGTAACAGCCCGAAATTTCAGGTATTGCTTTAAAGCTATTTTTGGGGCATTTTTGGAAGGGACTCGGCGAGTTGGAGCCAGACTCGCCGAGTAGGACCACAGATTTGGTCGCGGATTCACGACTGGACTCGACGAGTCCATTAGGGACTAGGCGAGTCGACGCTGTTCAGCAGAAACCCTATCCGTTTGGTTTTGGATCGTATATAACGCCTCTTAGGCCGTCATTGTTCGTTTTTGCTTACTGAGAAGAACCCTAGAACGATTGTGTGCATCTGGAGCAAGGATTGAAGACCATTGTTGGCTTTGGAAGAGTTGTGTGCAAGGAAGAGGAAGGTTTAGCTAAAGGAACAGCAAGAGAATCACGTTCTGAGGATTGGGGACAAAGAAAGTGCATCAATCAGGTAATATCTCGGATTTCGTTCTTCTGTGATTGATGTGTATATGAAGTTAGGGTTTATAGAACCCATTTGATGATTAGATGGATTATTATGTTGTTACCCAAGTGTTTATACCCCAGTAATAGGATGTTTAGAGGTCCAGATAGTCCCATGAGTGTGTATTTCGGGACCATACGTGTTTCAGGAAGCAGTTGATCGACTGCATGGCATGGACTCGCCGAGTCGGATGAGCAGACTCGGCGAGTAGCTTGAAGATTCACTGGGACTCGCTGAGTTGTTCTTCAGACTCGGCGAGTGGAGTCGGGGTGGCCCCGCGATTCTTCCACGAGGACCTCGTCGAGTCAAGAGGGATACTCGACGAGTAGAAAGGGGAACAACAGGGAAAATTGGGGAGGACGTCTAGACTCGCCGAGTCGCCTTTGCACTCGACGAGTCCGGTCAAGTTGACCGTTGACCGTTGACCTGCATGTAAATTCTTAGGGTCAGTGTCTTGAATGATAAGAGTATTAATATGGGATATATGATATCATAGGGAGTTGTAGCTCGGCGGATTGAGTACGAGAGATTTCAGGAGTTGCTAGCTTTCATTATCCACGAGGTGAGTCTTCTCACTATACTGTACCCGGAAGGGTATCTATGTGTGACCGGAAGGTCGAATATGTTATGTGTTATAATTGAAAAGGTAGTTGCTATGCATGCTATGTATGTTCTATGGGCCGGAAGGCAAAGTATTATGTGACAGAAAGGTCAGGTATGATATATGATATATGTGCTATATGTGTTTAAGTAATTGTACTATGTGTTGCATATGTTTATGGGCCGGAAGGCAATATGTTACGGGCCGGAAGGCAATATGTTACAGGCCGGAAGGCAAAATGTTACGGGCCGGAAGGCAAAATATTACGGGCCGGAAGGCAAAATATTATGGGCCGGAAGGCGTTGTACTGTGGACCGTAAGGTTCGGGCCTGGAAAGGCGTATATGTGTAGTGGTATACTGGGGAACTCACTAAGCATTTATGCTTACAAGTTGTTATGTATGTGTTTCAGGTACTAGCGAGGACCGTGGGAAGGCGCCGGCATGATGCATACACACTGCTGCTAATTGAGATCTTGGGGATTTTATATATGTATTTGATATGAAACATGAAATAAATACTATTGGTTGAATGAAATCACTTTGTTTTAAATGAAAATTTTATTTGAAAATTTGCGTTGTTACAGTTTGGTTCAAATCAAATCAATTCAGACTAAAGACGGACAAAATAAGACCAATATATCCTAAATCGGTTTAAATAACACACACATATTCATACAATATATATATATATATATATATATATATATATATATATATATATATATATATATATATATATATATATAAACTGATTCCGGTAGGTACACAGCTGGTAGTGGTTCCGGAAAAATGAGAATTGGAACCGCTTATGACGGTTCCATAACTTTAGGAGCCGGAACAGAAACCGCTTAAGGCGGGTCCATTTCTAAAACTGGCGATCCCGAGATGGTTCTGGTTCCCAAAAACAAGTATCTAATTTTGATGCTCATCCCTAAAAAATTTAACCTAAACAGTAAATGTTTTTAAAACCACACAATTTTTGTAAATTTTTTTTAAATACATTATTTTGGTAAAAAAATAGATTTGACAGGGAAAAAACACATTGATATTTTATAAAATTTTATTGTTTAAAATATTAAATATAAAAAGAAAAATTACTATAGACTAAAAATAACATAGATGAAAACCAATAACATAAAGAAGAACAACATCTTCAATGGACGTTGCTTATTGTTTTATAGGAATATAAAATACAAAAAATAGAAGTATCTTTGATCTACATTTATAACATTGCTTTCGTCTTTTATATATATATATATATATATATATATATATATATATATATATATATATATATATATATATATATATATATATATATATATATATATATATAAAAGTATTGCAGAAATCGGCCTTGACAGCCGATTAATCTTTTGACGGCTTCGAACCGATTACGATTAGGGTGTTTGGCGGAAATTGGTCAAAATCGGTCAAACTCGGGCTTGGCGGTCACTGGCGGCCTTAGCGGTCCTCCGCGGTCATAGGCGAGAAATATTTAAAAATTCAAAAAAAAAAAAAAAAAACAATTTTCAAATATTACACCAAAATTTTAAAATTTCCAAATACTTAATTTTTTAGGAATAGTAATTTTATAATAATTTAGGGTCCCCGATTAATCGTTGTCGAATCTGATCAATCGCTTATCACCAGTCGACTGCCAATATATATATATATATATATATATATATATATATATATATATATATATATATATATATATATATATAGAGAGAGAGAGAGAGAGAGTGTATGTGTATGTGTATGTGTGTGTGTGACTAATTAAAATTCTAGTATCCAAAACGGCTCCCAACATGTTGTGACTAATTAAAATTCTCATAAATGGTTATAAATTTTGTTTTAAGGAAATTTAATTGGATCTATTAATATTATAAACATTATGATTGACCATCTTAATAAATCTGAAATCAACTTATAAGGGTAATTATCTTTTATTGTTCACATTTAGCTTTTTTTTTTTTCTTTTGTATATATTTAGGTAATGAACTTCTTGGAAGTGTTCATATATAACCATTATGATCAGATGTAACTTGCTACAGTCGCTAATAATGGTCGTATGTGAACACTTCTAACAAGTTCGTTACTTAAATGTGTACAAAAAAAATAATAATAACCAGATGTGAACAAAACGAAAATGTAATTATCCTGATAAATCAATTTCTATTTTTTCGTTCACATCTAGGTAACGAACTTTTTGAACGTGTTCACATATAACCCTATGACTGGATGTAATTTGATATAGTCAGTAATAATGGTCGTATATAACAATTCAAACAAGTTTATTACCTAGAAAAAAATATTACCTAAATGTGAACAAAATAAAAAGATAAATACCGTAATAAGTTAATTTCCATATTATATATCGAATATTATATATTTGAGAAAGCTCGAACATCTTCGACCCCCAACAAATTATTCGAGTTTTAATGGTTGGAAATAAATATCGGGAAGGCTTGTATAACAAACTATTAGAGTTTTAAAAACATAAAATAAATACCGGGAAGGTTAAATTAAATTTATTTGTCTTTTTTGACATAAATAATAAGCGGACATTTGGAGGAATATAATTAAAGTATTTATTATGATTTTTAAAACCAAAACTAGTAGGTATTATTATTTCTTAAAGTTATTTAGGAAATGATTTGTGTATAATGATTTTTTTCCATACATAACAAAAAATTGTTGGTCTCCCCCTCCACCTCTCGGATGAAGGAAATTTCCGAGCTATTTACCCTGAAACTTGGGGTAATTTCCAACTCAATAGAGATTAGCATGAATAAGATGGATGTATCGCATATGAAAATATGTATCTTAACAGAGACATTGAGCAGAATTAATGAAGAAGTCTCGGTGGTTGCGGATAATCGAGTATTCGAAGTGGGGGTTTATGAGGTGGATGATGATTGGAAACCTTTCTCTTGTTCAGAAGAATCAATGGCGGAATCTGATGAGGAAGACGATGATGATGACATCTCTAACACGGTGTTCGATACTGATGAAGGGCTGGAGGACGGTGAGATTGTGCCAAATGCTGACACCGAACAGGTACCTGATTCAGAGATCGGAAGAAATTCCCTGGTTGATGACTCAGACGAAATTCCAGGAAGCAGGGCAACAGTCGCTCCTGGGAATTTGGGAAACCAACACATAGAATCGTCCCACAATGATGAAGTCCAACAGTCAAATTTTAATTCAATCATTAAAGAATCTCATAGGAACATAGACGTTAGGATGGAGGTCAACGATGGGGATGATGACGGTGAATCTAGGACCCCACAACTATCATTTGGGAACATTTGTGAGTTAATTCCTAGAGGAGTGTTTGGGCCTTTCCCAAACAATGGACTGGGAGAAAGAGATGGGCCCAGTAAAACGTTGGACTTAGAAATGGACCCAAATGGGTCATTCTTAAAAAGAAGAAAGATCCATCAAGTATTAAATAACCCTCAATTTAATATTGACCAGTCAATCCCTAAGTTCGCATGTTCTGCTTCAAATAATCCTTCACAATTGGACCTTAACTGAGCACCATATGGGTCCTCGAACCCCCCACAGAAATTAATCCCCCGATCATAGAGATGGAAAGAACGGCAGAGGTGGGAAGACTCCTTGGATTTGAAATCAATGAAGGATGCAAGATTCTGGCAGAAGTCATGGGTAATCTTGGAGAACAAAATTGTGATCAATGAATTTAATATCGATCAACATTAGGGGGTTGGGGGAAATGAATAAAATTGATTGGGTTCGAAGATTAAGGCAGAAAAATAAAGTAGCGCTTATGTGTATACAAGAAACTCAACTATAAAGTGGGGTAAATGAAACAATCGTAAGAAACGGATGGGGAGATGATAATTTTCGTTTTGAATGTATTAAAGTAATAGGCAGGTCGGGTGGCATCCATACCATATGGGATAAATCCTATTTTTCCATGTCCAAATCAATCAAAGATAGACATTTTCTGGTGATATATGGGCGTTGTTGTGGATCTGGAATAGACTTCGCAATAGTCAATGTGTATGCTCCTCAGTCTATATCGGAAAAGAGAAAGTTGTGGTTAAATTTGACCAATTTGATGCAGTCACGAGGAGTGATGTGGATACTCATGGAGATTTCAATGTCGTGAGAAGAAGAGATGAAAGGTTAAATTCTAATTTCTGCTCTTATACTGCCCAGGATTTCAATACATTTATAATTGGGAGAGGGTGGGGGGGATTATTAGACTTAAAAATGGGGGGATTCAAGTACACTTATTTCCAACAGGCAGGAGCAAAGTTAAGCAAACTTGATAGAATTCTAGTATGCCATAAGTTTCTTATTAACTTCCTGCAAGCTTCATGTATAGCCCTTCCTAGAGACGAGTCTGATCATTGTCTCATTCGACTTGAACTTAGCTCCAGTGATTTTGGACCTGTGCCTTTCAAGCTATTCAACTCGTGGCTTCTGAGACCTGGGTTCAATGAAGCAGTTATAAGAGTGATTTTAGAATTTAAAGGGTATGGTGCTACAGATTCAATTTTCCTAAATAAACTAAAATTCATAAAAAATAGGATAAGGAGATGGAGGGCAGTGGAACTCCCACAGGAACAATTGGAGGCTAAAATGATCAAAACAAAGAATTGCAGAACTTGATAAAAAGGCTGAAAGGAATATTTTAAATGGCTTAGAGAAAGAAGAATGGGCTAAGATTCCAAGTAGACTCACTGATTTAGAAAAATTGGCGAGTATGGATATCAAACAGAAAGCGAGAATAAAATGGTTAATCGATGGATTCGTTAAAATTCGCAATAGGAAAAATCACATGAATGGTCTTCTGATAAACGGAGTGTGGTCAAATCAGCAGGGAGAGATGAAAGCATAAATCTTCATATTCTTTTCTTCAAAGTTCAAAGAAAAATGGAAGCATAGACCAGAATTCAGGAGTTCAAGATTCAAAACCATTTCAGCCGCTACCAAAGAGTTTTTGGAAGGAGATATCTCGATAGATGATGTGAAAAGGGCAGTATGGACCTGTAGGAATGATAAGGCCCCGGGACCGGATGGCTTCACATTCAAGTTTCTGAAAAAATATTGGAATGAATTGAAGACGGATATCCTAGCATATGTAAAACACTTTAAACAACAGGGAAGTTTTTCACAAGGTTGCAATTCCTCTTTTATAACACTTGCGGTGAAGGTTAAAGATCCACTTTCCTTGGGTTACTATAGGCTAATCAGCCTAATCGGATCTTTATATAAAATAATTGCAAAACTACTAGCAACAAGAATTTGTTTGGTAATTGGGGAGTGCATAGATGAACTGCAAACGACTTTTGTTGAAGGACCAAACATCCTGGAAGGACCTCTCATTGTAAACGAGATTTGCTCGTGGGAAAAGAAAACCAACAAAAAAAATTTACTCTTCAAAGCTGACTTCAATAAGGCCTTTGATTCGGTGAACTGGAGATTCCTAGATTCGATGATGCAACAAATGAATTTTGGAATAAAATGGAGAGTGTGGATACAGGGATGCTTAGAATCAGCTAGCGCATCGGTTTTAGTGAATGGATGTCCAACGACTGAATTCCAACTAGAGAGAAGCGTAAGGCAAGGAGATCCCCTATCTCTGTTTCTCTTTATTTTAGCTATGGAAGGATTAAATATTCCGTTAAAGGAAGCAATGTCAAAAGGAGTTTTTCAAGGAATCATTATTCCCAACTCCAATATCTAGCTCTCCCATCTATTCTATGCCGATGACGCCTTGTTCACTGGTAAATGGTCAAAGCAAAACATAAAAACCTGGCTAGGATACTCAAGTGTTTTCAAGTATCCTTCGGGTTAAGCGTTAGCTTCAACAAATCGAAAGTCTACGACATTAATGTGGATCCACATGAGGTCGATAAATGGTCCTCACCGTTGGGATGTGAGTTGTGCTCATTACCATTCACGTATCTCGGTGTTCCTGTGGGAGAAAACATGAACCTTAAAAGATCTTGGATGCCAGTGATGGAAAAAATCAACAACAAACCCTCCGGTTGGAAATTGAAGACGTTGAGTTTCGGTGGGAGGGTGACACTAGCAAAGTCAGTTTTGAGGAGTCTTCCCACTTATTATTTATCAATTTTTGAAGCTCCTTTGGGTGTGATTGAAAACTTGGAGAGAATAAGGATGAATTTTATATGGGGAGGGCCTAACATTGCTCCAAAAATCCGGTGGGTGGCATGGGAGTAAATAATCGCTCCAGAAGAGGTGGGTGGTTTAGGTCTTGGATCCATTAAAGCACTAAACCTAGCGCTACTATCAACATGGAGATGGAAATTCTTCCATGAGAGGTATGCACTATGGGCGAGAGTTATACACGGAATCCATAATCTTGATGCCTTCCATCTCAAATGGCGTCCAGGTATTTAAGTGGTGTTCGGAAAAATATTGATAAATGTAAAATTACACTTGGTAAATTGAATATTGCAGGTTCTGATGTTATCCGGATAAATCAAGCGGGAACTGGATGAGAATCGGACTTTAAAATTAATGGTCAGTCCTGCGTTGCAGCCTTAAGGGAGAGGATTGATCGTACAGTCCATATGATTCCGGATGGAGTATTTCAATGGAGCAAATGGATTCCAATCAAAGTAAGTTGTTTTATATGGCGAGCAAGAATGCAACGCATTCCAACTGTGGTTGCTCTTGATAAAAGGGTGGGGGGTACAGGTCCAGTCTACACAATGTAGTGCTTGTGTCTTGGAATCAATGAATCACATGTTACTTAAATGCCCGTTTTCTGTTAATATTTGGAACCGGATTTGGGATTGGTGCAATATCAAACCAACGATATTTTCTAATATAAAGGAGATGTTAACTTATATTGTCATGACTGGCCAATGCCCAAAATGCAGGACAACATTACTCTTAATAATTTCTGGTGCACTATGCGGTATATGGCGAGCAAGGAATGATAGAATCTTTAACTCAAAATTCATTTCCCCAAAATTGGTGTTTGAAGGAGTTAGATCAATGTTCCATGTTTGGATCAAGCATAGGTATGGGAAGGAAACTTTGTATGGGGGGAATGGCTTAAATCTCCTTTCTACTTTGTGTAATCTTTGATGTTGTTTTGTAAGTTTTGGCACCCTTTAGCTCCTTGTTAGGGGGTTGCCTTTTAATAAAATTGACGGTTCCAAAAAAAAAACATAACAATTTATATTTTATAGAGTTCTAAAATATAATATTTTAATGTATAAATTACTATATATGACAAAAAAATTATTATGTATGACTCATCTCCCCATCTAAACATGTATATATATATATATATATATATATATATATATATATATATATATATATATATATATATGGGAAAAGTGAATATATATTACAGTTCCACCTAAGCATATGCACTAAACCTAATGAAACGATATCGTTTTATTAGCTAAACATTGCGATTAGTAGGGGATTTACGTTTACCACTTGAAGTGTAGATTCAGGATTGAAGCAATAACTTTAATAGGAAAAAAAAAACATTAATTATCTTCGATCTCTGTGACAGTGGAAAACAATAGTGTTCACTAAGGTGAAGTAATAAACGATAATGGAGAAAAGAAAACATAGATGGTTAATCGATAATGGATGAGATAAATCCAATGGGGATGATATATTTAGCAGATGAAAATCGAACATGATATATTTACTTAGTTAAAACGACATATTTTAGAGGTTTAGTACCTAAGCTTAGGTGAGACTGTAATGTATATTTACTATCCCCTATATATATATATATATATATATATATATATATATATATATATATATATATATGATATTTTGGGGGACTCACTGATCTTTGTGCTTATAGTTTTTTATTACATTTGTTTCAGATACTTCTGATGATCGTGGGAAGGTGAATGATTGATTGTACACATTCGCCTGCAGTTTATCAATTGGGACACTCTAATATTTGGATGATGATTTGTATATGACACTTGTGATTTTCTTGGGTTGGTTTTTATGAAAAAAAAATTATGTAAATTTTAAAATAAAAAATTTGGTTTGGAAATTTGGATGTTACAAATTGGTATCAGAGCTCTGATTTGAGGGATTTGGATGAATACTTTTGGGATTTCAAACTCAAATTATGGAACTGAGAGTTTATATAAAAACTTTTAAAAAAGAAACAAAGAATTTTTAAAAGGAGAAAAAATGGATGAAGCAGTGTGTACAATCAACCAGATCTTGAGCAGTGATTTTCCTGAAATATATCTACTTATTTTATGTGTAGTGTCGAGTTGTTTGATTTGCGATGCCTTTAGCCTAGGAGATTGCTTTTATAAGATTGAACGCTCCTTGCTATTTGCTTGGTGTATGATGCATGATTGTACATGGATAGGGTTTTATAGCCTTAGAATACCTGATTTAGCATTTCTTTTTGTTTCTTGTTTTCCTGTGGACTTGAGGTAGAATTATTTATTCGACTATCTATTGAGTCCAGTTTTATATTTGATTGGTATACGCAAAGTAAGTGGCGAGGCTAACGGAGATATTTGTAAGAC